ACGAATCATATTTAGAAACATATTGATTCTGATGACCTTTAACCTTGTTTGACTGATGAACTCATTTTTTAAATTCTTATTATTAGTTTTATTCTGCAGGGTGTTGTGCCACTCCTGGCCACTGGGTGGCGGTACGGCAGCAAGTGTTTGCTGATCCAACAGAAGAAGACGCAGAAGATGTCTTCCTCTTGACTTTTTATTTTTCGCTTCGTTAAAAAATCGTTTTTTGTCTCGTGAACGTTTTTGTTTTGGTCGTGTCGCTTGTGTGACGTCAGTCTTTGCTTTGAGGTGAGTCCGCTGCTAATGACGTGTCTCTGTCCGCCGCTAGCCGCCTGCTAGCTGCTAGCTCGCTAAGCTAACGCGGTGAAGTCAGTTGTTTTCAGTCTTTGATCTGTTTGATCAGGTTCGTCGTCAGGTTCGTTTGATCGACGAGTCTCATGATTAATCGATGATTGAATCAGAATCGATCGACGCGTTGGATGAATCAGCTGAAATCCTTTAATTATTGTTTTTAAAAGAGAAACAATTGATAATTAAGATTTAATTCTGCTGCATCATATTAATAAAAACTGCTGTGAATTGATGTTGATGGAAATAATTGTTATTTTTCTCTGAGTCTTAATGATGAAATAGTTGAAACAGTGGGAACGAATTGAACTTGTGTCTCTGCTGCTGTTCAGTTTTTCTCTTCATGGAAACAACTCTTCGTTCTTTTCCGATGAACCTGAGTCGTCTCATCTTTCGTAGAGAATCACAGACGTCGGCGCTGAGCCTGAAATATTTTCCTCTGGACAAACCGTCCTCAGCCTCCTGTGTCTCTGAGCCTTTTCCATCTCCTCCTCCCTGACACCTTCTGTCTGCAGGAAACACTCAGCTTCGTCCATCATGTCTCACAAGTACAGACCGCCTGACTCTGACCTCAGACCTGATCCTGCTCCGTACTCTTCAGATCGCCGTCACACATCGCTGGACCGAGACAATTACAGGCCTCCGCAGGCGTCTTTCTCTCCATCCTACCCGTCCTCTTCCTCCTCCAGAGGCTCGGCTCAGTGGTCGCAGGAAGGTGCTCTCAGCATCCTGAGCAGCTGTGGTCTGGAGCCCAGCGACCTGTCTCTGCTGGCCGAGCTGCCAGAGGACGTCCTGACCGTGGAGTCCCTGCCTCATGTCCTCAATCAGCTCAAAGGAAAGAGAGGGACTGTCAAACCTTTCTCCACCAACGCTCCTTCCTTCTCCTCTTCCTCCTCTCATCCTCCCAGCTCCACACAACGATCTGCCGTCAGCTCCTCCTCCAGAGACTGGGACCAGCTCTGCAGTCAACCAGTCCAGTACCCGCTGGGTCAGGTAACGTCCCGTCCTCTTCCATCTGAGAAGGTTCATGACCACTGGGGCAATCCCACAACCAGCAGCTCGGTCAGAGCAGACCCACTGTCGTTCTCGTCTTCGTCGTCCAGCTACATGGTGGACTTTCACCACAGACCGGGACCCTCTGATTATGGTAAGACAGGCAGAGCCTCTTGCTCAGTGTCCTCACGGGATCCGCCCTCTGTCAGGTCAGCAGCACGAGACGACAGGACTTGTCCTTCCCGTCTCTCTGAGTCAGGATCGGCTGGTTACAGGTCAGCTCCTCCCCCTGAAGAGCACCAACTTAAAGCTCAGGGGAGACGCCCCGAGTCTGAAACCTCTTCCATCAGGAGCAGCCGGCTCGCTGGAGCCACCCCCATGCCTACCAAGAAAGAAGCCCTGGACTTCCATGGGACGCTGCCAGAGGTGTTCCCCTACTCGTGCTCTCTGTGTGATATCACTGTGCTGTCAGAGAGGGTAAGTGCTCCTGTCCTCCTCCTCCACTCTCTCAGTATGGGGGCTGGGGGGTGGGGGGGGCGTTGGAGTGGAAGCTGTGATGTAGAAACTCAGTCGAGTGACAGATCTGTCTCTTCTTCTGTTTCAGGTGTGGACTAAACACATCAACGGCACTTATCATGCCGACGGTCAGCTCAGCCTGCTGCAGCAGTCAGTACAAATATAATATTATATATATATTATATATGTGTGTGTGTAATATAATACCTGCTTCCTCTGTGGCACAACCAAAGACAATGATTTCATGTTCCCTCAGGTTTCCTAAGTGGGACTGTCGAATGGAGACGCTCAGCAGGTCCGTGTTCCTCTGTTGTGTGTTTTCTTTTAAATGACGTCATGTGACTTCAGCCAGCTGAGCTCAGAGCTATCAGGTGACCTGCTGGACCAGTGACATCATCTGACAAAGCAGTTGTTACTGGTTCAGGGTGTCAAAGATAGTTTGAGAGACAAGATGTTCCACTCTGTAACATCACTGAGTGTCTCTGTCAGATACACACACTGTTTCATCTACATTTAATCATCATCATCATCATCATCATCATCATCACACACATGGTTTACTGAACGACATCCCAAATAAAATCTGTCATTTCAGGGCTGACAACCAATCAGAGAAGAGTAAGAATGAAGAAAAGCCCACCCGACCGCCTCCGTCAGCCAATGAGAGCCAAAGTAAATGATGTTTTAGTGTCTCTAGTGTTGTTCACAGTGTCGTGATCGTTCTCAGTGCATCAACATGTGTTTTTATCTCTGTTTAAAGAGTCTCAGTCGAATAAACAGTCGAGGAAGAAGGTGAGTGGAATCATGTTTGTATGTTAGTCAAGTTTGATTCAGCTGCTTCATTAAAAACTGCCCAATAAATGAAAACTGTTCCTCCTCAGACGTCGGACAAGAGTAAAGTGGTGTGTGTGAAGTTTCCAGCTCAGTCTGTGGATGAGACGTATCTGAGGAAACTAACTGAACCGTTTGGAAAGATCCTCAAGATCCTCATGTTTCCGTCTTTAGTGAGTCCAAGTGTTCATTTCACATTCAGCTGAACATTTATTTGTTGGTTACTGCTGTGAATTGTTTTCATTATTCGTCTCTCAGATTTTTTAATTTTCCTTTCTTACACCCTGCAGGCGTTTGTGGAGCTGGGCTCCATCGATCAGGCGAAGGATTTGGTGAAATTCCACATCAACTGTCCTCCAACTGTGAATGGAGAGCAGATGGAGTTCAGCATCTCCAACACCTTCAGCTTCCTTCAGGTACAGACTCATCACAGGGTCTGAATAATAACCTGCAGACACTCAGGGTTCAGTTGGGGAGATGATCTGATCAGACGTGTGAAGACAGAAACTTTGAAAGAAAGAGTCAAGTCTTTTTCAAGTAACTAAAAGGTTCCTGCTCCTTTTTTTTATGAGCTGAGTTAAAAAGAAAAACCTACATTTAGACCCTGGTCCCTGAGGTGGAATCTCACTTTGTTTTCTGTCCAATTCTTATGAAAGCGATATCATATAAAGAATGTCTCCGGGGAATTTCTTCAAATTTGGTGCAAATATTTATTTGGACTCAAAGATGAACTGATTTGATTTTGGTGCCTGGAGGTCAAAGGTCAAGGTTGCAGTGACCTCACAAAGTATATTTTTTGCTATCTCTCGAGCACATTCAAGTGAAAACATCGTGTGCCTTTTTCTGCAGAGTTCTCGCGTCGTTAGCTTCACTCCAGCTCCAACAGGAGAAGACGGCCGATCCGATCTGATCAGCATCGTCAAACGCTTCGGCCAGCCGCTCTTCACTCTGTTCCTGCCGTCTATGGTGAGATCACATCCTGACTCTGCTCTGTCTGACTGTGATCATCAGAGTTTACGTTCATCATCTCAGTCCAGTTACAGAGGAAGTTAGAGTCGAAGTCAGCTGTAAATTCTTCAACCAATGAGTGTTATGGAAAAGACAGTCAGTTGGGAGTAGTCGTGGAAATGTCTCAGTGTTTGAGATGTTAGTTGAAGATGGAGGGAATTTAAAGATGCCACGTTGCTGAAAATCTTTCAATGTGTAAAACTTTCCAGAAAAAGTTAAAGTTTCCTCCAGGACAGAATGAAACACTTGCTGTTTTTATCTTCCAGGTGTTTGTGGAGATGAAAAATGTTCCTGACGCTCAGAAGCTGGTCGATTATTATTCTGCCAAAACTCTGAGGATCAACAGTGACCTCATCAAAGTTTCCCTCTCTGGAGAATACAGGAGCTTGATGTGAGTACGAGCAGCGCAATGACTCACCAGCTGACTCTCATCCACCAATCAGGGCTCGACTGCGACGGTGATCCTGTTTCTCTTCTTCAGGCGAGTTGCTTCTGCCACGAGGTACGAGGAGGAAACGCCTTCGACCAAGACAGCGAGCAGTCGGAGCCAAGAGCAGGAGGACAAGACGGAAAGCAAGAGGAAAAGACCTAGATCCAGAGAAAGATCCAGAGATAAATCCAGAGCAAAGAGGTCCAGGTCCAGTGATGATTCCAACAGGGAGAGGAAATCCAGATCCAGAGATCGTTCCAGGTCCAGAGACAAATCTACAGAAAAGACATCCAGAGACGAGTCCAACAAGGAGAAGAAGTCCAGGTCTCGATCTAGATCCAGAGATAAACCCAGAGAGAAGAGATCCAGATCCAGAGAAAAGTCCTGCGGCAGGTCTTCTGGGGAGAAGGGATCCAGAGAAAAGACGATGGAACCAGAAAAAAGTGAGAAACTGGGTAAGAGACTGAGAAATACATCATATAATTGTGTGTGTGGTGTCAGGACATTTCTGGGTTACATAACAGGTGGAGACCGCCACACATGAAACAGCTGCTTTCAGTTGAATTCTATGTGATGTTTTTACATGAATTTAAACCAATCTTTTTATATTGAAGCTGAATTGTCATTTTTCGTATTTATAGAATCAATCACATTAGATCTCAGTGAAACTTTGAATAATCAATAAGTGTTTGTTTCAGCTTCAGAAACAAGACGAGCAGATCAGAAGCTGTTTGTACTCTTCAGTTAAAACTAAATCAATAATTCAACACTCAGTATTTACATCTATATATATTCGATATCTATCAGTTGACAGATTATAACAATAAAGTGCAGGATAAGGCTGAAGTTTGAACTAATCTGATTCGACACACATTTAGTTTAAATATCTTCTAACAACCTGCAGCTCAAATTAATGTTTGAGTTCTGAATAAAAAGTGAAAAGCCCTCGTGCAGGATTTTTGTTGATGAAACTGATCGGCGTCCATTCACAGACTCTGACTCCAAACCTGAACCTGCAGAGAACAGACAGAGTGAAGAAGAAGAAGAGGAAGAGTGAGTCTCATTTCTACTGAATGTTAGACAGGTCAGTGAACACCTCACTCACAATACAGCGTAAACATGTCAAACCTGTGACCTGCAGGTCATCTGCAGAGGACAGCGACATCGAGGGGATGGAGGTGATCGGAGAGGATGGAGAGAATGTGGACGATGAAGAGGAGGAAGATGAGGAAGATGACAGTCCAGCAGAGAGAAGTGACTCGATACGAGAAGGTACAAATAAAAACAGACTGAAATGAAACAAAAGAGAAAAAGTTAAGAGATGATGTTTGTTTTCAGAAAAGGAAAATGTG